ATTCCCCCACTTCTCCATCATGGTGACCCACACATAAACAACACGGGAGCTTGTGAGCTTCCCAGCCTCTAAAGCTATGCTGACTCCTGTGCCGGAGAATCTTATGTGCACGTAAAACTGAGCCCACGCCTCCTGCTGCAGAAGCTGAAAATGCCGAGAACTCACTTTCCCAGAAGCCCTCGCAAGCCTGGTCCCCAGCTTTGTTCTTGGATTTACCTGCAGGTTCTGTGGCTGCCCAGGTCATTGGAGGAAATTCCTTTGCTACTGAAATGAAGCAAGGCTGGTTTTTGCCACTTGAGTGCTTGCCCCGCCGGGTCAGACTTGGGCAGCCTGCCGTCACTCAGAGAGCCACCGGCTCACACCCACTTCTCCCTTTCAGCGCCACTCCCAGGAGCCCCCACACTGCACGGAGCCTCCTCCAAGCCCCAGCTCAGGGATAAGTTTGCCTGAGGTGCTTTCTCTGCCAACCTCCTGCCCGTCCTCAGCTCTAAGCCAGGGCTCATCAGGAGGGGGCTGCAGCAGGCCTTGGCATTGGGTCCCATGGTGCGGCTGCTCTGCTCAGGCCCAGGGTCTCAGAAAGTCAGTCCTGAAGCTAACAGGTGGGTGACAGACACCTCCCTGACCTGGCTCGTCACTTTGGGGACTTGGAGAGACACACGTGTGCACACACACAGCTTTAGTGTAAGACGACAAAGCCCCTGTGTTTATCACTGGCTGCACATGTGACACTCCTAGGAAGCCACCTGGCTCCCAGGCCCACCTACCAGAGTCCCTGTTCAGTGATGAGACGGGCAAGGCCCCAAAGCCACACAAGAGAGTAACACTGTGAAGTCACTAAGCCAGCTGACTCTTGATGGGTCACTTTGTCCCTCTGCCTCTGGCTGACCAGGTCAGCCCCAGAGCACCATGGCGGGGAGGGAGGAGGGCAGGAATGAAGATAGGAACTTCAAGAACTTTCTCAGCAGGGCCCTGTCTGCAGCAGAGTCTTGAGGCAGCAAGGAACACTGGGCATCTAGCAGAGCCTGCCAGTCCTGCCCCTGCGCCGCTGAAGAGCCTGAGCCTCACTCTGTCCTGCAGGTTCTGTTGATCAGGGCACAGCTCTGTGGGGATGGGTGGCCCTCCAGATGGCCAGAGAGGAAACTGGGGGAGCAACGAAGAGTTTTGCCTGCTCCATCTGTTCTTGTGTACTGCTCCCACCCACCCTCATCAGCTCCCCCCACGCAGGGTTCCTGTGGCCCGTGGGGCCTCCGGCCCCCACAGACAGATGCCTTGAAACACCAAACCCCTTCCCTCCCTGAGTGGGGAGGGGCAGTTTTCCCAGCTGGACAGTTGTCAAGTCCACACGTATGGGCCAGCTGGTACCTGTCAGCATCAGCTGCCAGGAGCCATGACGGGCAGCAGCAGCCTTGCACAAGTCCCCATGCATCACAAGTGGGGCCTAATGGCATGACCCCCAGCACCAGCCCTGCTCTGAGAGCTCCATCTGCTCGCTGGTCTGCGCCTTCCCCAACCCTGGTGCTGTCAGCAAGGCAATCATCCTTTCACCTGGACTGCCCCCAGAGTGAGGCCCCCACAGCGTTCTTGCAGAAGCAGGTGAAGGCCCACAGGATATTCTCTGCGCAGGCAGGCTGTGGGGGCTTAAGGAGGCTGATCATCGCAGCACACCTCACAAGCGTTTCTAACCCATCCGTGGGCCGGGAGCTTTTGGTTGCAGCGAAGGCAGTCACAGTGGGAAAGAGGGACCCCATGGATGGCCCAAAACCTGGTTTCCAGTAGCAGGTGACAAGTGGGCAGCTGGCAGAGGGGGCCGTCAAGAAAGGGGTCTGTCTTCAGAGAAGGTCCCTGTGTGTGTTTCCCAGCTCCAAGGAGCCAAGCAGGAGACAGAGGCCAATCCTGTGCCCCGTGTCTTGATCAAGTCACTACCTAGGTGGGCCTCAGCTGCCTCCTCCTCCTTCTCCTCTTTTTCCTCCCCCTCCTGGGCTGAGTCTTTTCAAAGCAGCTGTTGTTGATGTACTAAAGTGCTATACACACGCATGTACACGTGTGTGCGTGCACACACATGCAACCCATTTTGTGTCTACCGCTGCCACTCTTAGCTACAGCTTGGAATGTTCAAGTGCAGGGAACGCAGATGCGGGTGGAAAGCCATCTCAGGGTGGGGTGAGCTGGGATTCGGACCTTGGTCTTGGGAGCACAGACCTGCCACAGCTGCTCTCTGTTGAAAAGTCAGGTGCCAGGCTAGTGCCAGCAGAGAGGCCAGAGGCCAGGGCTATGGGAGCAAAGGCCCACGGTGTCAGCCCTCACCGAAATTCTCTCATGGCTGTCTGCAAGGGAGTCTCCCACCTAACCTCTTCCATATTCTGGGAGCTGAAGTTGTCATGCCCTCTTACCCCCAGGATTGCTGCAAAGTGGGACCTCTCCCACACTCTCCTGGCAGCACGGAGTAGGTGAGTGACAGAGTCAGGCTCACGCAGCCAGCCAGTCCTGTTGGTGGGGGTCCCATGTTCCAGAAGCCACAAGGTGGGCAGGTACCACAATCCTGCCATGGGACCACACATGGAACCTCCAGCTCTGATCTGTTCTGGTCTGAGGGCTTGCCAGGGCTCACAAAGTCCTTAGGTCACCGCAGGTGAGCAGATGGGGTGGGTTGCTCAGACGCTGTGAGCAGGGGGCGTGAGGGGTTCACAGTTGCAATAGCTGGCATGTGGGGTGGCGCAGCAGGGCCTCTCCTGCCAGCTGCACAGGTGTGTGGAGGCTTGCCAGCATCAGGGCAAGCAGTGCTCAGGAGTCCCTGGAGTCAGGGTGTATCTATTCATTCATTTATTCATTTTCTGGTCCCCCAGAACCTCGTTTTCTGCTAGGCTCTGCAGGTCCCCCTATGAGGAGGACAGACCAACAAGACGAGGGGGTACCAGGAGCTCCATCTTGTGGCCTTCAAAGCCCCATAATTCTGACGCAATTACCTTCTCCACTCCTTTAAGGGCATGCCCTGGCCACCTGCCTGCCCACTGACTCAAGGCCCTTCACTCTGCATGAGTCCAAGGGATTCAGGTTGGGGGCATTGGTCCTGGAGGAGGCAGGTGGTCCCCTGACTCCAGCAGGTGGCTGCTATTGCTGCTATGGTCTCTTGAGGGTCCTCACTGGCTAGGTGAGCTGGGGCAAGTCACACCACCTCCCTCCTCAGACTGTTGCACCGGGCAGGGGGCATACAAGTGCTATTTGGATCCCCTGCCTCCGCAGGGTCCACAGCGCCAGCTCAGCTATTGTGGCAGGGTGGCTCCAATCGCTTGACCTGGAAACGGTGTGATTGGCTGGGAGAGGGGGAGGAATGGAGACATGATGTGATCGGGTTGCCCTGTGACCATATCTGCCATTGATCCTGTGGGAACTGGTTGGGGTGGAAACAGTGAGCTGTAAAAGGATGCTCATGGGGAGGGGAGACACGGAGGGAGGCTGGGCCAGGGCCAGGGAGGGGAGCTGAGGAGGCATCTCTCTGAGTCTCTGTGCACTTGCTGTGTGTGTTCACGTGTCCATGCTGTGCGTGCTGCTGTGTTAGGCCTGCCAAGCTTCGCATCTGCCTGTGTGTGACCTGTGTGCTCTTGTCTGTTTGTTGTGTTTTTATGTGAGCTTCTATGTGCTCTTCTGTTGGCCTTTATGTGCCCACGTGTGTCTTGATGCATGTGTTTAGGGATTTGTGCTTTTACATCTGTGTTGGTGTGTGGTCTGTGTGTACAGCATGTATGGGGAGGCTTGTGTGTGCACAGTGTGGAGTGTGTGTGCATATGAATGGCACATATGGGAGGTGTGTATGTGTCTGTGCAATGTGTATGGGAGGTGCGTGTCTGGGCAGTGTATGGGAGGTATGTGTGCAGTGCGTACAAGAGGTGTGTGTGTGTGTGTGCGCAGTACATATGGCAGGTGTGTGTCTGTGCAGCGTCTATGGGGGGTGTCTGTGCAGCGTGTATGGGAGGTGTGTGTGTCTGTGCAGTGTGTGTGTGTCTGTGCACTGTGTCTGTGGGTGGTGTGCCTGTGCTCACAGCATGTATGAGAGGTGTGTGTCTGTGCTCATGGAGTGTATGGGAGGTGTGTGCCTCTGTGGGGGAGGTGTGTGCCTCTGTGGGTGGCAGCCTCTGGGTGACCCCCATATTCTTGCTGTGGCCAGACCACAGTTGGGACCCTGCCCAGTCTCTGGGTGACTGATGGTAGTGTTGGAAGCTCCACGGCAGAGGGGCTGTCACCAGGTCCTGAGTCTGGCGGGGAGAGACTCTGTGTCCTCCATTCCCTCCTCCCACACTGGAGCCTGCTGAAGCCGCCCACACCCCACATGGAGCCCCAGCCAGGCTGGGGACAGCCCTGGGGGCCTGCCACTGCCACTGCTGACTGCGTTGGGTACGGCAGAGCTGCTCCACAGACCTGCATGACAGCAGTGCCCTGCTCAGAGGGCAGGTAAGGGGGCCCAGCTGCCCCTCCACCCAACAGGTCAGGGCAGTGCCCAGAGGAAGGAGGCCTTCCCCACCTCCTCCCCTGATATGGTTAAGTGGCTCCGTGCTCAGCTGTGGTGGTTCTCGCAGAGGGACAGCCCATCCATGGCCATCCTGGCTGGTGGGAAGGAGGCACCTGCCCCTGTGATCGGACCCTCCCTGCGCCATGGTGAGGTCGGGTGCCCATCCAGCACAGAGGAGCTCTCCCACGCCATGCCCCCACTGTGGCCCTTCTTTCTCCTGCAGATTAACCAATACGGGACCTAAAAAAGCCCAGCAGTCTCTTCCCATTTTACAGATCAAGTGACAGGTGCAGCTTGCTCCTCCCCTACTTCCCTGCCCATCACTTTCTTGGGAGTCCTACTGCCTACACTTGACCAAGCAATTCGCCCCAAGTCACAGGAGGTCCCCTTTATGAGACAGGAAATTGAATGAAGGATCAGTTCACAGAGTCCCCATGGGCAGCCTCTCCACCCCACACCTACAGGCCACCCACCCAGACAGGGACTGCCAGGCCTGGCTGCTTCGACATGCTTTATTTCATTAGGAAAGTGGCTGAGGGTCCCCAGGGGTGGTTGGGAGTGGAGTTGGGACAGTAGCCAGCTTCTGTTCCTTCCCCTCATGGGGTTGGCAAACCTTGCAGAGTCGGGGAGAGAGGGAGGAAGAGTGGAGGCTTGAGCCTGCTGCTCGAAAACCATCCGCCCCCAGCTCTGAGGCTTGCTTGACCCAGGGCTTGGGAACAGGGTGGCCCTGACGGAGGGGAGCAGCGGCAGTGGGGTCCCCTCCCCTTACCGAGGCATCAGTTTCGGCTGGGTGCCAGGTAGCGGCTGCTGTGTGTTGTATAGCCACTGTAAGGCGAGTCTCGGTAAAAGGGATCAGTTGAAGCCAGGGTTCTACAGGGAGGAAGTGGTGGGGAGTCTAGGCCTGACCTTCTCTTCTACCCACACCTCTTAGGAACCCAAGGGCCTGGCCAAGCCAGGGCTGCCAAGCCACAGGCTTCCTGTGCCCTGCCAGCTCCAGGCCATTGTCAGTGTGCATGTAGCTCTGGGGAGACTGAATCGGATGGCAGTCACAAGTGGGGCGCCATTGCAATCTCTTTATCTCTGGATCTGCTCCTGCCCCCACTCCCACCACCGCCATTGTCACTCAGTGAAGGAGTAGTTGGAAGGGCACCAGGGTGGGGCAAGGAGCCCTTGTGTAGAGGGAGGAGCTGCCAGAGAGGAAGAGGAGGTGAGGCACTGAGGCAGGGGGAGCCAGCTGGAGGCAGTGGCCTCTCAAATGGACACACAGACGGAAGGATGAATGAATGGACGGGGCTGGGGAGTAGCTGGGACTTGACTGAAGCCTGGGTGCAGGGGTTACCTCTCCACATGGGGATGCAGGTGCTGTAGGTTCTCCATGGGATTGGTGGTGGGCTCCATACGGGTGACAGGGTGGTTGATGGCATAGCCTCCGGGCAGCTGGGGCTGGATGCCACCTCGAGTCCAGCCTTCCCGGTCTATGCCCTTGGGGATGTTTTCAAAGTACCTGCAGTTAAGGAGACATAGTGGCTGCCAGCTGGCCTCTGTCACTTCTGCTGCTTTCCCTCCAGTGCTTCTTGTCTCTGTCCATGCTGTGCCCTCTGCCTGGCACAGCCCACACCCGGCCTGCTGGTGCCTGGAGGCTTTTAGCTTCCTGCTGGTACCCCAGCATATTCACAGAACTCCGGGCTGGGTCTTGGAGGGTGCCAAGATGAGCATGGTGTGTACCCTCATGCTTGAGCTTATTTAACAAGAGAGTGTTGAGAGATCAATGCAGAAAACAGAGATTCCAGGACCAGCACTTTGGTGTAGTGGGTAAAACTTGCCTGCAACACTAGCAGGCAACCCAGGTGGGCACCAGTTCAAGTCCCAGCTGCACCACCTCCAATGCAGTTCACTGCTAATGGGTCTGCAAAAAGCAGCAGAAGGTAGCCCTGCATCCATGTGGGAGACCCAGAAGAAACTCCTGGCTCCCGGCTTTGGTCTGGCCTAGCCTTGGCTGTTGCAGGCATTCGGGGAGTGAGCTAGCAAGTAGATGTCTCTTTCTCTCAATTCGTGTCTCTCCTTTCCTCTGTAATTCTGACCCAAACAAATAAAGCAAATTTTTTTTTTTTTTTAAAATCAATGATTCCCACCCCAGGGGTTCTGTAGCCACTGGCAAGGACCAGCAGGCATGACTTCTAGGCTGCAACAAGGGTTTGGTTTACACAGGCAGTCTGGCCAGGGAAGGAGCCAGCAGAAATGGCTGAGGCAGAGGGGCAGTAACATACCTGTCCATCAACACGCAGAATGACAGCTTACCATCCTCCACAGGGTTTGCACTATTCCTGTTATGTGGCCTGGACACTACTACTCCCCTTGGAGCCTCAGGGTCCCCGTTACAAAGAGGAGGGGTTTAGCCCAGAGGCTGACCCAGTCCATTTCCGGAAGAAGGCAAACTAACATAGTGCTGACCTGCTCAGCTGTGACTTTGTGACTTGTCTCGGTCTTGGTATCTGAGCTTTGGGATGAGAAGAGGAGCCTTACCCTTGGTTGTAGGTGGTGAGGTACCGATTGTCCCTGTCGGGGTCACAAGGGCTCCGGACATAGCTGGGGTTGTTGAGGCTGAAGCCACTGAGCTCCTGCACAAGTGGGCAATTGTCAAACCGGAAAGTGCCAGGGCTGAAGCTGGGGCCAAGGCCAGGACTGGGGCCAGGATCACGGCTGGGACTTGGGCCAGGGCTGGGATTGGGGCCAGGGATGAAGCTGGGCCAGGACTAGGGCTGGGGCAAGCTGGGGCAGGCCCCACCTTGTTGCCCACAGTCTCCCGGCCAAGCATGGTCACGTTACTCTGCTGCAGCCGATGGGGTGGCTGGAACTGCCAGTGGCTCAGACTGCTTGATTCAGGGCCCAGAGGGGGTACCTGTAGGGACCACAGGAAGGAGACTGGAGTGGCCAGGCTGAGGCAGCACAGGGCAAGGAGGAAGGCAGGGGCATTTGCAGCCCCTACCCCAGGGTCTGGGGACCCTGTCCTCTCCCGCCCCTTCCAGTCAAGTTCACTGTCCCAGCACACCCAGTCCCTCGGCCCCCAGCTGTTTCCCTCTATGTCTCTCACTAGTCTAGCTCCTCCCAGTCTTCCATGTCTGACGTAGAGACCACCTCCTCCAAGAAGCCTCACTGGCACTCACCCTGGAGTGCAGATGCCTTTCAGCTACGCGGCTGTAGCCTGTCTCCCGGTCAGAGCCTCTGGCCAACACAGGGAGGCTCTCATTTCCCTGGAAAGAGAAAGGCAGTCGCTGGCCTCACAGTGTGGCTGGTCTTCCCATGGCTGTCCCTTAGTCACGCTCCAGATGGCGGTCCCTGCCTCCGCCCCCACACTCCCTGCTTACACGAGGGAGACTCATGGGGAGAAAGTCAGCCTTGGTGCTGGTCCGGCTTGGGAGGACGACCTGGCAGGGGGCCCATGGGGCAGGATCAGTGGGACAGTGGCAGCTTGCCTGCCCCACCCTAGGGGAAGACAGCTGCCCATGCCCAACTCAGCCCTCCACTCCCCACCCTGTACTCAGCAGGGTGGTGGGCTCTGATTGGAGTGACCGAGGAAAAGGAATGCTGGTGATGAAGGAGAGAATGTGGCCTGATGTGCAGCCAGCAGGCCAGGGTTCTTGTCCCAGTTGCCCACGATCTCCTGGCCAAGTGTCCCCACGTGGGTCTGCTGTACCCAAGACCAAGGGGCCTGTGGACCTCAATCTTCTCATCTATAAATGGGAGCGCTGCCCCCAAACTCTTGCATCGTGTATGTAAACCAAGCTTGTACATTGTTTAAACTAGAAATCCCTTAACCAGAGGCCTTCAGTCACCCTGGGATGCTAACTGGGGTCTAGGGGGCCTTACAGGGTCCCCAGGGAGGGCCTGGGAGGGTGGCTGGAAGACGATGGGGTTCTTGTTGGACTCCATGGTGAAGCCAGTCTCCTCCTTGGCACCGATCGTCTTCTTCTGCAAGAAATCTGCAAAGATGAAAGTGGTATGCTAGGCCACCAGGGCTCCAGCCACATGCTTCACAGTGGGTCAGGAAGGAGTGGACTCTGAGGATCTAGGGACCTGAGCTGGGAGCAGGAGGCCTGTACAGGCTCAGGGATGACCCCAGAGTCCTGGCCAAAGGGTAGAGAACGGCAGGCAGCACCAGGTGCTGAGAAGGTGTCTTAGCGGGCAGGCAGGCAGGCAGGCAGGCAGGTAGGTAGGGGGCCTACCTGGCAGGTTTGAAGGTTCCTTGAGATAACTGGAGTTGTATTCAGAAGTCATGAAGCGCGGGCCCTGGGACACAGAGGAGAGATAAATGGGGACCCTGAGGACAGGCGGCAGTGTGGCACTTCCTGGGTTATCTGTGTTCTGTGCCACTCAGCAGGGAGAGCCATGAGCACCCTGAGCACACTCGGATACCAGAAACCGTACCACGTGAGCACAGCTCCGTGATGGTACGGACCTCTCCCCATTCTCAAGCCACACCAAACTCCTACTGTGGAGCCCACACCATGGGCGTGAGGCGTCAGGATGGGGTGAGGGTGAGCAGGGATCTCGGTGTCCTATCCTGACCCACATGGCCATCAAGGCCATTCTGAGGTTGTTTTCCAAGTCCTGTGCTTTCTTAGGGTTTGGCTCCACCCAGTGAGCATCCTGGCTGACTCTGGCAATAGGGTCAGTGGTCAGTGCAGCTCTGCCCTGGTCCTTGGGCCCAGTGGGGTGCCACTCACGTAGTATGCATTCTCCCGTGCTAGTGAGCTCTTGTCCTGCTGCTGGACCAGTAGTGGCTTCTCCTTGGGCTCCAGTCCCACGATGGCCTGGGCGCCATGCTCCTGTGTGTCGAAATGTACCTTCCTGACCTGGAGGAAGGGATGGAGAGGGCTTAGCGGTCACATCCTCCCCGCAACCCTGACCCTTCCTCTGCTGTGGCTCCTACAGCCTGGCAGTGACCAACAGAGACCTGAGTTTCTGACAATACACTGGCCCCTTGCCCAGTCCTCATTATCCTCCTCATAGCAGATGCTCCTGTTGGGGAGCCCTGGCACCTGACAGGGGCACCTCCTGGAACATACATCTCTCTGATGGCCACAGCCCAAGGGTCCCTCATGTCCCTCAAGTCTGTCCAGTGGCTCTTTGCTGACCCCTTGGCCTGCTGTAGTTGCTCTTTGCTTCTGCCCTGTAGCCATTCTTCACTTGATCTTAGCCAAAAGGCCGAGAAGTGATGCCCTGTAGCCATTCTCACCACACTTAGACACAACGGAGGCCTTCAGAAAAGACTGCCATTGTGGCACAGGGGGTTAAGTTGCTCTTCTGACGCCAACAACCCTTCTCAGTGCTACCCAGAGTTCCAATCACTTGGCATCCAATGCGACTCCCTGCTAATGTGCCTGAGAAAGCAGCAGAAGATGGCCCAAGTGTTTGCATCCAGGCCACCCAAGTAGGAGAGCCAGATGGGATTCCTGGTGTTTGACTTCCGGCTGGTCCAGTCTTGGTCATTCAGTAACCATTTAGGGAGTGAACCAGCAAATGAAAGAGCATTCTATCTCCCCTTTCGTCTGTCACTCTGACTTTGAAATCGGTCATTTCTGGTTAGAATATCTTGGTTGGGTGGATGAACAAGCAAGCATCTGTTTTGACGATAGTTGTAATGATCATAGTAATGACAGACAGGAAGATGATGGAGGTGATGGTGATGGCTGTGGCAGGATAGTGCCAGTGGTGGTGAGGCTGGCGATGATGGCTTGAGAGGAGGATCAAGAGATGGGGAAGAGATGCAGAAAGTACAGGTAGAGGGGATGGTTGCAGTAGGGATGAGACTGGAGGGCTGAAGTGGGAGTGGACATGAGGGTGGGGGGATAGGCTAGGGACAGGAAGCAGAAGCAGGTGACAGTGGATGCGTGGATGGCCCCTCCACACCCTGCTATTTCAGTCTTGGCCGTGTGCTGGCGGGACCCACACCTCATCCCTTCCTGTCCTGCTCCACCATATCCTAGGCCTGCCCTCCATCTCGGCCGTGGCTCAGCACTCACCTCCTTGGAGAGGGGACCCATACTGGGCCTCTCCTGCCCATACCCAGAGGTTGTCTGGTGTACACTCCAGGGCAGTGGGGCCCGGCCATCAGGGACTTCCAGGGGCCGGTAACTCTGACCAGTCGTTGTCTGCAAATTGTCTCGGGCTTGTTCCCTGGGGGCAGAGGGCAGCAGAGGAGCTGGGACCACCAGGATCATCTGCCCTGGACCTTGGTGGAGTGGTGGGCAGGGAGGGGGCAGGAGGGCTGCTCGGTGTAAGCCTGAAGCTTCCCACCTCTTTTGGCCCTTCCACGATGCTATAGGCATCCACCAGCCTTTGGGTGCCAAGCTGGGCATTGAGCCATGAGTTTTCCAGGAACCCAGGCCTAGGCCAAGCAAGGCTCGGGGCCTGTGCCAGGAGTCTGGATTTGGTCTGAGTAAATCTGGCATCCCTTAGAGCTGAGGTCCCCAGAGGGCAGGGGGTAGGAAGGATATAACATGGACCATACCCCATGGCCAGGCTGCCTGAGGCATCCTGACTGGTTTGGTAGGGGACCATGGGCCGGTAATTTGACATGTAGCCTGTGCCAGTGTGACAGCCTGTGCGGGGCTTGAAGTCCTGTCGACCTGCCAGAGGGGAAGCACATGTCAGCAGGGTTGGGGGCGCAGTGGACTGGGGTCCCCAGGCAGATCCAGCATCCTCCCATGGACCGGAATGGCTCTGAGCTGAGTGTGCATGCCTGACCCTCCAGGACTGCAGCACAGGAAAAGAGAGCAGGTGGGGTGGAGACAAGATCAGTAAGTTAAAATTGCAGGGCCAGAGCTGGAGAAAGCCGCAGCCTGCCCCCATCTCAGAGCTGAGGGGTGGGGACCTTTCCTTTCCCACTCAGTGTCCTGCGGGTGGCCCCTCACACAGGTGCCCCTGCCCCCTGTCCTGGGGGTGGCCCCTCACACAGGTGCCCCTGCCCCGTGTCCTGCGGGTGGCCCCTCACACAGGTGCCCCTGCCCCCTGTCCTGGGAGTGGCTCCCCACACAGGGGGACCTTACCATAGGCTGTGCAGTAGCTGGTGGCATAGAATTTCAAGGGGTCTGTGCAGCCGCCCGAACTCATCTTCACATAAGGGGAGACCACCCCAAGGGGGAGCTTGCCCAGCATGATGCCCTGGGGCAGGGCCCCCGGGGCCCTGAAGAAGATACAAGAGCTTGGTCAGCGCCCAGTACAGACTTGGGGGTACCCCAACGGGCCGGTTGATCTTCCACACAACCAGCCCTTCTTCTAGCCTGCTCCCTGATACCCACACCGCCATGCCACCACAGAGGAGACTCCATCATCCACTCCTCTCTCTCCAGGCCACCTGTGACCCCCTTCACCTAACCAACACCTTTCCGTTAACCCTCTATGCCCCCATTTTTCATTGGGGATTTTCTCACAATGGGCAGTGAAGTCTCAAGTTCAGACTAAGGGTGTCTGAACTCCCCCGACCCTGATCTGAGCCAGGAAACTCCCTTCTCTGGGTGGACAAGTTGGGGGTGAGTGACCTGGCCACTTCCTCCTGGGCAGCTGTTGGTCAGCCCGGCTCGACGCTCACACCCAGCCCCAAGCCCCTTGGCCCAGCCCGGCCTGGCTTGACCTGCCTCCTCTGTCTCCCAGGGCCCCCTTGGCAGCTGGCCCCACCCTCACCTGCCCGCTGGCCAAAGGGCGGCTCTAAAAGTTAAGAAGAAGCTGCAGGAGGCAGGAAGGACTCCACAGAAGCTGGGGCCCTCCTGGAGGTGGCTCAGCCAGGGAGAAACAGTGTGTTGCCTAGCAACCAGCACCTAGCAACAGCGTTTCCACACCTACCTCTGAAACCCTTATTGGGCCATGGCCCAGGGAGGGATTGACCCAGGGGAAGAAGCCAGGACCTGCCTGGGCAAAGCCCTGCCTCCCTGGCCCAGCTCTCTTCTTCCCTGGCCTCCCCCACAGGACCAGGCAAGAACTGTTAGTGACATGAAATAAAAGCCAATCCCAAACAATCACGGGGATTTATGGAGTGCCTCCTTCTCACTCCTCCAAGCACCAATTCCAGGCACTATTGTCACCCCGTGTTCATAGGGAGGATGTGGGGCTTCGACGGGCAGCTTAGCCGGCCAGGGACAAGCACGCAGTGGAGAGTGGCGTGGGCAGACACAGACGTGGCCCTTGGGCCACATGGGGAATCCCTGTGTGCTCTGCGCAGGTGGAGCCAGGTGGGGCTGAGCCCTGTTACCTACACTGTCTCATACACTGCCCCTACCCCACCCCCTGCAACTCAGCAGCTACTCCAGGAAGCTCATGAGCCAGAGTGGCGGTTAGGAGCACGCTGAAAGGCGCTTACTAAATCCTCTCAATGCTACCAGCTCCCCATCCTTCCCACAGAAGTAGCTGCACCTGCCTGACGGCTGCTGGCAGATTTGCTGAGAGCTGGAGTTCAGCACCTGCCAGACAGGAAGTCCTCGTTTCCCCAAGCTGCCGGTCTTTGGGCTTATGTGCAGACAGGAGATGCCAGGGCTCTTGGTTGGGGGAGCAGGAGTGAGGCTGCTCTGGGGTCCATGTACCGTCCAGGACAGCCTGCCTGAGGGCCTGCTGGGCCTGTGAGGCGGGAGCAGGGAACTCTCCTTGTGCCACATCTGCCAACTCCAGTGATGGGAATACTCCCATCTCTGCTACTTTCAGGCCACCAGGGTCACTGAGGGAGAACTTGGGCTGGTGCCCACCACCACCAGAAGGTGTTTTCACGGCATGGTCAGTAGAAAACAGAGAACCTCATAGACAGGAGCTGAGTCTTCAGAGTGTCTTCCCTCTGTTTTTAACGTAACACACAGCACATGAAAGGCATGAGATTGTGTCGCTCACAGTGGGCGAGTTTAACTGGCAGCTGTGCATTTCCCGGAGGCTTCACCTTCGACAAGAGCAAGCTGGCTCCAGCACACCCCTGCAGTGTGGGGAGAGTGAGTGGGAAGGAAGAGCAGGCAGTTGAGAGCTAGGGTGCCGGCCCCACCCAGTAGAGCCTTCCCCGCAGCCCCCAGGTTTGCCAGGGAGGGGCTTGTGAGCACCCCTGTCCCTCCACAGAAGGGACCAAGGTATTGGAAGGGCCACACAGAAAGCAGAGGTACTTTGGGCACTCGCCACCCCGAGTCTGTTCAGGGAGGAAGTGGAGCTGCGTAGATCCAGCAAGAGCCCAGGAAAGCCAGCAAAGAGGAGAGCACAGCACAGCACATGCTCTGCCAGCCCAGGGGAGGAGGAGCCGCCGCCCTCCTTTTGGGTTCCAGGCAGGAGTCTGGCTCCCGGCTCAGCCACTAGCAGCTGTGAGACCCTGTGTGAGATGAATCTTAGGGAGCTCAGGTCAGGAGACATCTCAACCATGGCCTGATGCACAGAAAGCAACCTCAGATCCAGAGCTGCAGGTGCAAGGTGCTTCTGCCAGAACCCCCGGGTTCCCCGCAGGGGATAAGGACGCCTGCCCCGGCAGATGCCAAAGGGCTTGCAACAGGGCGGGCACGGCGTCTGCGGGTGAAGCAGGCCTGCGTGGGTGGAGCCGAGGGTGGTGAGCACCGGCAGAGAGGTGCCTGAGGAACCCTCTGGGGACCCACAGGAGAGCTCAAGCTGAAAGAAGCAGCCCCGGGGGAGGCTGTGGCCAGGTTTCCTTTCAGCGGTTTGGGTGCGGAAGAGGTAATGGAACGCTTTGAAATCGTCCCTTAGGGAAATTCTCGGGCTGTGGGAGCCAAGGAATTGGGCAGGAATCCCCAGGGGCCGCTGAACTCTGCGTCGGGGCTCCGGCGAAGTCCTGCAGCCTCGCATCCTGCAAGTGGAGAAGGTTTTTGCTGTGTGGCGACACCTAGCGTCAGCAAGGTGGAACTGCAGGAGATGCCGCGTGGCGTCCCAGCCACCCCACTCTCCATAAAGGGATACGGCTGAGCAAAGGCAAGGGCTGAGCACAGACAAGGAACACAAAGCTACGAACTGTTCACCTGCATGCAGGTTCTAGAGGTGATCCGTTTGCTTCCTGATCCCTGACCACCCACTAGTTCTCTCAGATCTGTACTATGAAGAAGCAAACCTTCAGGATTTGACCCAAGTGGACACGCTGGGCCCACCCTACCCTCTTCCTTCCCTAACAGTGCCCATTCATTAAGTACCTTTCTCTGTGCCAGGAGCTAAGCTTTAGACATCATCTCAGGGCCTTCACTCCAGCCCTACTAACCAGGAACTGTTGCTTTGACGGCCCGTTTACCCTGTGAGGATGGAGCCGCCCTCTAACCCAGCTTTGAGTCTGGAATCTGCACGCCGCTTGCTGAATGTGCTGGCAAATTGGCTATAAGGAGCTGGGATGGCAGCAGCAGGCTCCAGCACCTTGTGGTCAAACTCAGTTGGTTTCCAAGAAGATGGAGTGCCCTGGCCGGACAAGCAGCCTCCCCCTTTCCAGGCTCTCCCAGACCTGGGGAGTGAAGTTCATTCTTATTTGCTCCACTTCAGAAGACCGGGGTGGCCCAGACACTGCCCCTGCAGAGGTTTCTGTTGTTGGTGGTATTGTTTGTTTGTTTTTTATGTGCTTGAAAATCAGAGAGGGAGAGGGAGAGAGAGAGATGTCTTCAATCCTTCACTGTACTGACTTACTCCCCAAATGCCTACAACATCCAAGGCTGCACCAGGCCAAACCAGGTCTCCCGTTTCAGGGCGCCAGGCTCTGACTATTGGAACTGTCACCTGCTATCTCACAGGTTGGGTGTTAGCAGAAAGTTAGAAACAGAAGCAAAGCCAGAGCTTAAACCCATACACCCTGATACGATGTGATTTGCAAGGGTCCCTAGCGACGTCCTGGCCACTGTGCCAAATGCCTGCCCTCGCGACAGTTTTTAAAACTCTTTATAAAATAGTCATCCCTTCTCCCCTTGCGATGGCCTCTCCTATATTCAGCTCCTTGGTTTATATTGAGAATTTTCAGGCAAATAAAGTCACAGAAGAACGCTTTGAAATGATCCCAATCAGCCGAGATGACTGAAAAGTAGGAAGCACGTTCCTGGGAGGTGGCAGCTGCGGGAGCCGAGCACGGGCAGACCGGGAGGAACCAGCGACCTGCTTTAACTGCTGTATTTGTAACGTCCATGCTGGAAGCTGGCGCTGTCACAAGGACTCCTGGTTCGGTGGGGGCAGGGCGCTGGGACAAGGAAATGCTGCCGGATGGTGGGTAGGATGGCCAGGAGTAATGCTACCCTGAGGAACAGACCGGGCGCTGCTGCATTGGTGTAGCTCAAGTCCCACTTCTGAGATGCTTCTAGAACTTGCTCTGGTCTCAGATAATTCTGTGTGACCTTACTTCATTAGCCATGCCTCTCTGGTCCTGTTGCCTGTGAAAGGAGAGGGTTGAGGGAGCGGCACTGTGGTGCTTGTGACGCCAGCATTTCATATCACTGTGTCAGTTTGAATCTCAGCTCTTCTGCTTCCCTTCCAGCTCCCTGCTTATGGCCTAGGAAAGCAGTCAGGGACTGCCCAAGTCCTTAGGACCCTGCACCCACATGGGAGACCCGGAAGAAGCTCCGGGCTCCTGGCTTTGGATCGGTTCAGCTCTGGCTGTGGCAGCCACTTGGGGAATGAACCAGCAGATGGAAGATCTTTGTCTCTTTGTCTTTCCTTTTCTCTGTAAATCTGGCCTTGGATGAAAAGGAGAAAGGAGAAAGAAGAGGACCACGGGGAGAGACTGGGTGGCCAGTGTTAAGGCACAGCAAGTGAAACCACTGCTTGTCATTGCCAGTTTCCTATGAGGGTGTGGGTTTGAAATCTCGTGCTCCACTTCTGATCTAGCTCCCAGCTAGTGTTCCTGGGAAAAACGGCAGAGAATGGCTCAATACTTGAGCCACTTCTACACAGGTGGGAGAGCCAGGCGGAGTTTCCAGGCACCTGGCTTCAGTCTGATCCAGCCCCGACCATTGCACACGTTTGGGGAGTAAATCAATAGATGGACAGTCTGTCTCTCTCTCTTCCTGCCTTCCCCTTCTTTAATTTATCTTTCAAATAAACAAATCATTAACACACACACAGAAAGAGAGAGAGAGTTGGACCAGAACAGCAAGTTTATTTTTCTGTCTGCTTCCATTCTGGCATGTGTTGATTGTTTGACCTTGTGGTCTTGCAATCCTTTC